CTCTCCTGTCCTCTTCTCTCTTCCAATTCCTCATTTATCGCCTCTCTCGTCTCCTCCCTTCTCTCTCCTTTCTCCTCTCCTCTTCTCTCTTCCAATTCCTCATTTATCGCCTCTCTCCTTGTCACTATCATCCGCTGCCATCTCCTGTTACGTCGCGTGCTGTTTCTCGCGTTACTTGCCTCCTCGTGTTACCCGTCGCGTCATGTGTTACCGAGATGGCGATTTTTCTCTGTCTGTCTCTTCCTTCTTTTGTTGTTTTGTTTGTGTTTGTCTTGTTTTTTGGTTTTTGGTTTTTGTTTGGTTGGTTGGTTTCTTGCATTTTATTTGTGTGTTTCTATTTTTTTTTCTTTTTTTTTCTTTCTTGCTTTTTCTTTTTCTTTTCTTTTCTTTTTTCGTATTTTTCTTCCTCTGTCCTTTATTTTTCTTCTTCTTCTTCTTCTTCTTCTCCTCCTCCTCCTTCTTCTTCTTCTTCTTCTTCTTCTTCTTCTTCTTCTTCTTCTCCTCCTCCTCCTCCTCCTCCTCCTCCTCCTCCTCCACCCCACCCCTATCCATCCCTTCCTTTTCCTCTTTCCTTCTCCCTTTCTCGTGTTTCGTGTTCCAAGGATCTTCGTAAAAGGATAGGATTCCTTTGAGCTCCTTTCAAGGCGGGTGATGCGGGGATGGGCGAAGGGAGGAGGAGGACAAGGAAGAAGAAGAGGAGGAGGTGGAGGAAGAGGAAGGGGACAAAGGAGAAGAAGAGGAGGGGGAGGGGGAGAGGGAGGGGGAGGAAGAGGGCAAGGAAGAAGAAGAGGAGGAGGAGGGGGAGGAGGAGGAAGAAGAGGAGGAGGGGGAGAAGTGGAAGAGGAAGAAGATGAGATGAAGGTGGAAGTGGAAGAAGAAGAAGAAGGAGAAGAAGAAGAAGAAGGAGAAGAAGAGGAAGAAGAAGAAGAAGAGAGAAAAAAAGAAATGATTGATATGGATGTGGAAGAAGAAGAGGGAGAAGAAGACGAAGAAAAAGAGGAAGAAAAAGAAGAAGAAAGAGAACAAGTAGAAGAAAAAGAAAAAGGAAAAGAAGAAGAAAAAAGAAGACCAGGAAGAAGTAGAAAAAGAAGAAGAAGGACAAGAAGTAGAAGAAAGGAAAAGAAGAAGAAGAAAAAGAAGAAGAAGACAAAGAACGTGGGAGGAGAAGAAGAAAAAGAAAAAGGAAAAGAAGAAAAAGAAGACGAAAAACGTGGGAGGAGGAGAAGGAGAGAGAAATCTCCTCACAGCTGTTTCTTGTTTTCTTAGCCTTAATTCGTTTATATCTATTTGTTTATATATTTACGTTTGGTTTATTTATTTTTATTTATATTGTTTGATTTTTGTTGTTGTTTTTCATTCTTTATTAATTTCCTCTCTTATATCTGTTTTTCGTTTGTTTTGGTTCTGCGTTATTGTTTGTCTTGTGTATTTTTAAAAAGATGTTTATTAGATTCCTGTGCTTGCAGTTTATAGTTTTTTTTGTTTGTTTGTTTGATTGTTTTCCGTTTTTTATTCTTCAGAAAATAGAAAAAAATGTATATCATTTTTCTTCTTCTCTTCTCTTGTCACGTCTTCTCTTCTTCTTCTTCTTCTTCTCCTTCTTCTTCTTCCTCTTCTTCTTCTTCCTCTTCCTCTTCCTCTTCTTCTTCTCCCCCCCTCCTTTCTTCAACACACAAAAATCATAATACTCATAACGTTCCAATATTTTCCCCCCACCTTCCCTACCCTCCCCTCCTCCTCTACCCTCCTCTCTCCCTTCGCCCCCCCCCAACTCCCCTCCACACAGACTGTACGTCCTACACCGACTCCCGTCCCTGAAATTCCTGGATTCGACGGGCGTGAGGAGAAGCGAGCTGCGGGAGGCGAGGAAGCGAGGGGCGCTGACGAAGGTGATTCGGCCGGGGCTGGAGTCCGCACAAAATTCTTTGGTAAGGGGTGGTGTCTGTGAGGGAGGGTTGTGGGGTGTGTGTGTGGATGTGGGTGGGTGGGTATGGGTGTGGGTAAGGGGGAGGAGGGGAAAGGGAGGGGGAGGGAGAGGGAGAGAGGGGGAAGGGGGAGAAAGGGGGAAGGGGGAGAGAGGGGGAAGGGGGGAGAGAGAGAGAGAGAAAGAGAGAGAGAGAGAAAGAGAGAGAGAGAGAGAGAGAGAGAGAGAGAGAGAGAGAGAGAGAGAGAGAGAGAGAGAGAGAGAAGGAGAGGGAGGAGTAGAAGGGAGAGAGAGAGAAGGAGAGAAAAGGGGAGAGGAAGAGGGAGAAGGAGTAGAAGGAGGAGAGAAATGCGGAGAGAGAGAGGGAGAAGGAGAAAGAAAGAGAGAGAGAGAGAGAGAGAGAGTAGTTAGACTCCAGCTGTTGCTAAATGTATTCAACATCTCGTAAGTAGTGTCAATAGGCCTACAATACCTTCCCCAGTTGTGAGTAAATTTGTTTTTGTTTGCTTATTAGAGGATTCAAACCATGAGAGAGAGAGAGAGAGAGAGAGAGAGAGAGAGAGAGAGAGAGAGAGAGAGAGAGAGAGAGAGAGAGAGAGAGAGAGAGAGAGAGAGAGAGAGAGAGAGAGAGAGAGAGAGAGAGAGAGAACCCGAGTCATATAGAATCTCATTGCTTCCAGCCTCCGAGTTGCTACAGTACCAAGCTTCCTGTGCATTTTCCCTCCTCCCCCTTCTAACGTACATTTCAGGCTTTGCAATCTTCTCCGGAATCGAAGCCTATGACGCAACGAGCTTCACAGGTAAAATCTAGAGAGAGCTTTTGCTTCGTTTCAGCTTAATTTACTTATTAAAGCTTCGTTTTAGGTGTAAGTGCAGTGTGGGTTAATATTGCCTTTTGCTGGAATGTTAATGAGAGGGGGGAAAGAAGGGAGAGAGAGAGAGAGAGAGAGAGAGAGAGAGAGAGAGAGAGAGAGAGAGAGAGAGAGAGAGAGAGAGAGAGAGAGAGAGAGAAAGAGAGAGAGAGAGAGGGGGGGGTAGAGAGAGAGAGAAAGTGAGATAGATAGATAGATAGAGAGAGAGAGAGAGAGAGAGAGAGAGAGAGAGAGAGAGAGAGAGAGAGAGAGAGAGAGAGAGAGAGAGAGAGAGAGAGAGAGCCAGAGTGAGATAGAGAGTGAGATAGAGAGTAAAATAGAGAGTGAGAGAGAGAAAAAAAAGAAAGAGAAAGAGAAAAGAGAGAAAAAGAGAAAGAGAAAAGAAAGAGAGAGAGAGAGCGACTATTAAAAAGCGAAAAAAGACTGAAATTAATTAGATGAACGAATAAAAACCTCGCATAGTAATTCCAGAAGCTTCCACTAGCGTAGAATACCGCTGAAAGGAAACCAAAACAATATTAGCCGCTGTAGGCCTATGTACAGAAATGACTACAGTAGGCTTGTAAAAAAGGTATGAATGAAACTGAATATTCTCGATGAATAAATAAAAGTCAGTGACACTTTTTGTATTGTGGAATTTATATATAATTTATTCATACCTTTTCTACACTTAAAAAAAAACTATGAATATGCTTTCGTATTGCTAGTTATGTGTATTGATAGCATGGATATATTTTTTTCAAAAATGTTATATCGCAGAAATGCTTTAGTCTGCTTCATATAAAGTATTTGTGATAATAGTAACCATGATTATATTGATGTTAATAATGATGATAATGATGAAAATTATAATTCTAATCATAATAAACCCGATAATGATAATATTAATAATAATAATATAATAATAATAATAATAATAATAATAATAATGATAATAATAATAATAAAAATAATAATGATGATGATGAATAAAAATGAATAGTAAAAATAGCAATAACTGTAATAATGGTAATGGCAATGATACTACTACTACTAAAAATAATATTAACAATAGCATTAATAATAACAATGATATTAGTAATGATGATGATGATATTAGTTATAATAATGATGACAACTACAACAATAATAATAATAATAATAATAATAATAATAATAATAATAATAACAATAACAATAATAATAATAATAATAATAATAATAATAATCACAATAATAATAATCACAATAATGATGATAATCATACATAATGATAACAATGATGATAATTATAGTTCTTATAACAAAAATAATAATGATGATAACGATAATAATAATAATAATAATAATAATAATAATTATAATAATAATGATAATGATAATAATAATAATAATATTAATAATAATTATAACAATAATGATGATGATAACAAGAACAATAATAATACCATTCGTAATAATAATAATGATAATAGTGACTAAAAAAAATATTACTATCATTAGCATTATACAATAACAGCAACAATAATAATAGCGATGGTAATAAAGCATATCATTATAACATCACCTTAATGATGATTATTATAATAAAGGTGATGGTAAAGATGTTAATAATAATGAGAGTAAGAGTAAGAATGATAATGATAATAACAGGAAAAATAGTGGTTATAATAATAATTAATATAATAAAAATAATAATAACAATAATGATAATGATAATAACAATAATAATAATGATAATAATAATAATGATAACAACAAAAATAATAATGACAATAATAAAAATAATAATGATAATAATACTAATAATAATAATCATTATTATAATAACAGTAGTACGAAGAAGAAGAAGGAAGAAAAGAAAGAGAAGAGAGGAAAATGAGAAGAAGAAGAAGGAGAACAACACTAATAATGATGGTATTAATAATAATGATAATGAGAACAATAATATCAATAATAGTAATAATAATACTAATGATAATATTGTTATTATTATTAATGATTATGATAATAATAATAATGATAATAATCATATTGACAATAATAATAATAATAAGTATCATTATCATAATAGTAGTAGTACGAAGAAGGAATCAGAGAAAAAGGAGAAGAAGAAGAGCCAGAAGGAGAACAAAATTGATCATAGCAATAATGATGATAATAATAGTGATAATATAATGCTAACAATGATGAATAAACATAGTAATTATAATGATAATAATTATGATGATAATAACAATGATAATAACGATATCAATAATAGCAATAATGAGAAGGAGAAGAACAAGAACAAGAACATTGATAATAATATAAATGATGATGATAATGTTAATGTGACAGCGATGATTATGATGATGATAATATTAGAAATTATAATAACAGCAATAACAAATGATAATGAAGATAATGAATAATGATAGAGACAAGAATAAGCATAAATGTGTATGCGAAAACACAGATTTTTTTCTCTCTTTTTTTCACGTCCATTTTCTGTTACATTCTGCTGAAATATATTATATCCAAATATGTTATTAACCTTCATACTGCTTTCAAAAAGTAACTGGTAAAGTAGCTGGTCACTGGACTTGCTTAACCCAGTGAAAAACGAGGGAAAACAAATATTATCATTAGTGTTATTATTATAGTAATGATAATAATGATGATGCTCATGATTAAAGTAATTTTTTGTCATAAATAAACTAGAAAAGAAAAACATTGTATGTAACAAATGTCCCAGAAAACGAAAAAAAAAATGTGTATATTGTATGTAATAAACATCCTTGACAACGATATAGGAAACTGTGTAATAAACAACCTGGAAAACAAGACAAATAATATAATAATATAATTAATATTGATAATCATTGTATGTAATGACTAGGCTCCTTAGGCTTCGATGCGCTAACGGGTGACGGTGATTGCAGGGCACAGGCGGGGACGCGCAGGTGACCCCTGTAGAGACTAGCATGAGAGCCAAGAGAATGAACGGGGAAAGCAAGAATGGCACAACAATCAAGCGAGAGAATTCGGACACGCCTTCGCACCCACAGCATACAGGTAAAAAAAGATCGTGAGATTGTTTTTTATATGTTTTGTTTTTGTTTTGTTTTAAGGTGTTTCAGATGTTTGGGCGTGGTTGAGGAAGTGTTGGATGTGGCGAAAGAGTGAGGATGTTTGTGATATATGGGGATGTTTTGAGCTAATGTTGATGTTTTTTTAAGGTAGTGAGAGTTTCTTGGTTGGGTAAGTTGTTGATAATTTTTTTAGGCTATTTTTTGTTAAGTTGCTTCATCTTCATCTTATATATATATATATATATATATATATATATATATATATATATATATATATATATATATATATAATTGTTATCTTTGATATTTTCCCTTTCTCTGTTTTCTTAATTATGTGATTTAATTCGTGGGACTCGTTTGCTAGGATTATGAAGATCATCATTTATGTAAACGAGAGGTAATGCTTAAATGCTGTTCCCTGGAGCTGTGTAACAAAAAGCTTAGGATATTTCAAACCCTCTAAAAAAGTTTTGTTTCTTTCATCAACACTATTTTCCGTTTTGTTTTACGATCTTTCTATTGTTTACAAACCGTCTTCTCGTACTCCACAATTTCCCATTTCTCTGCGATCAAATTACCATTGTTTTCTGAACTTCTCTCTTTCATCCTTCATCATTTCCCTTAATTAATCCAAGGAAATGATTTGTTTACATATTTTTTTTTCTTTCATTATACACAATTTCACTTTACTGATCTTACAACCATCCACTGAAATTATTTCTTTATGGATCACACTCTACCCATTCATTTACAGAGCTTACTATCCTAGGGAATTATTTACCTTCCAAAATATTCCTTTTGAAAATAATTACCTTCCATGCTTCTCCTTCGAAATGATTCACCTTCCATGCCTCTCCTTCGAAATTTTTCACCTTTCATGCCTCTCCTTCGAAATGATTCACCTTCCATGCCTATCCTTCGCAAATATTCACCTGCCATGCCTCTCCTTCAAAAAATAATTACCTCCCACGCCTCTCTTTCGTCCTCAGGTGCGTACGGAATCCGTCGGTACAAATATGTCGGACATAATTCAGAGGGAAACCGCTTCATCCGTAACGAACATCTCTGAGAGGAGTTCACCGGTGTCTTCGGCCTCGTCGGCGTCCCATTACCAAGACGAACTCACGGCCTCTCAGTCAAGTCAGAGGCTCGTGCTGGTGGGGGAGATGAGCCTCTGAGCCTCTGGGAGGACTGGGAGGAAGATGAAGAGGAAAAAAGGGATATGGTGGAGGTTATGTTTGTCGAGAAAGGAAGATTTGAAATATAAAAAAGAAACGCTTTTTGAATTCATGTGGTGTGAAAGAAGAAGGAACGGTGGTTCGAGGGAGATTGTGTGTTTGTTGAGAAGGGGGAATTTTGACCTAAAAAAAAAAAAACGCTTTTGAACTCTGGTATGAGATTTTCTATTTGTATGTGTGGTTTGGTGTAGATATGTTTGTCAGGAGAGATATTTTGAAGTTTTTTCTTCAAAATTTCTCGCCTGACAAACATATCTACACCAAACCACAACTTTTTCAAGTAATGTTGTGTGTGATTTTATTTTATGTGCATAAGAGAGTGATTTTCTTTTCCCCGAACCCATAGGATTGAAAATATCTAGAAATGTCTGAAATGTGAATGTTTCTGAATGTATATATATAAGAAACGGAACTGGTCAGTGTACAGTCATGGACATCCAAAACCTCGCACAGAGAACGTCATGTGAGTTAGTAACACATGATGTTAGGTTAAGAGGATGTTGAAGTCTAGCCCAAGAGGAGAAGTGTGTATTGGGGTAAAAAAAAAGAGACTGGTGTGATGTATTGCCAGGAGAATGGGTTAAGGTGAGCAGTTGTAATGGAAAACGAGTGAATAGCAAGTGTTTTGTTCGTGAATGTTGATATATGTTTTAAGATGAAATGTTTGAGTCTTCGCTAAAATCTCTCTTCGGTATGTAGTGTGAGTACACTGCATGAAACTGCAAAATAGGTTCAAAGGAGGAGAAGAAGAGAAAGAAGAAGAAGGGAAAAAAGAGGAAGAAGAAGAAGAAGAAGCGGTAGACGAAGAAGAAGAAGAAGCAGTAGACGAAAAAGGAGGAGTAGACGAAGAAGAAGAAGAAGGAGTAGACGAAGACGTAGAAGAAGTAGTAGAAGAAAAAGAAGTAGAAACAGAAGTATTAGTAGTAGAAGCAAAAGCATCAACAACAAAAACAACAAACACACCATTAACCCTAAGGCGGACCCGAAATTCCACATCTTCGAATCATGAGGCAGAATATGCTTTTTTTAGTCTCCCTAAAAATCAATATAACGCACGAAAGTTTTACAATAAGTCACACAGACACAGACACACAGACACACACACACACACACACACACACACACACACACACACACACACACACACACACACACACACACACACACACACACACACACACACACACACACACACACACACACAGAGGACCTGTTTAGTATAGACAGTTAAGAGACATGTTAGAATATGTAGACATATTGACTTGAAGACTAAATATGTGGATTACATATTATATACATTTTAACTTGAAGAATAAACTAAATTATATAAATATTAACTTGAGGACTTGAAGACTAAATATATGTATTTTTATGACTGAGTGAACTTGTGTGTTTGTTGACTTAAAGGCCTACTTTGTAATTACGAAAAACAATATAGGAAGGAGACGCTGAAAAAAAGGACAAATATATGCTAAGAAACGGACGAAAGAGACATAAGAGAGAGACCGAGAACTATGAGGTGTTGCTGAGGACGCTAGTGAATAAGAAATAGAAGAAAAAAAACCCGTAAAAGTGAAGGGAGGAGGATAAACGAATAAATAGGAAGAGAAGAACGCGGGATACTGGGACGAGAGAACGAAGCAAAGATAAATGATAGGAATAAAAATAGAGAAAAAAGAGGACATAGAAACAAAGCGAAGATATAAACAAGGACAAATATTAATAAAAGGAGAGAGCAAAGCGCATTATATATATTTGTACGAAAAAAACAAATAAGAAAAAAGAAACGAATTTAAACGGAAATACGTACGTAACCCCAGTGATTGACCCCCCCCCCCCTAAGATATAAATAAATTCAAAGGAGAGATTATGATATTATTAATGATAAAATAAAAATGGCGATGGAATGGAACGGATGGTGAGCAGTGACGCCACTTGACTACGCGAAAATATATAGAATAAAATAGTAACAAAAAAAAGACTATTATAAAATTTAATAATGAAAATAAACTCTTCGATACGATATTTCGACCATCGATTTTGTGAATATATTTTGTTTTCTCTTTTCCGATTCTTCCGTTCGAGTAAACCGAATACGAAACTGATATAGATAGATAGAAAATAAAAATGATAACAAGTAGTAACATCTACCAAATAAAAGGAAAATTTTGTTTTCAAAACGTTATCATTTTCACCGAAAGTGTTACTCTTTGAATATCTGAAAACTATGATAACTTCCATTTCTTTTATAATTTCTTAATTAAAATAGCGCTCCTCTTTTCTCTGCTTGCCAAAAATGGTCCTTTTTGAATTAGCATATAAGAAAGACTTTAAAGCCGAGATTTAATCAAACCGACTTCCTTTTATGGGAGAGTCGAAGAGCATTGAAAATCATTGCATTTTTTTTTTTAAATTTCATTGTTCTTGTTATTACCAGCATAATGTTATGAAAATAAAAGCATTGGTAATTGTATCTGCGTTGGTGGCGGACTGTATAGTCTACGGCCACGGATGTTACTGTAGTGCATAGTTAAGTTAGTGTATTTGGAGTTTATATAATAAAGTTAATAAAATGAAAAGGAAAATAAAAGTGTTTGATTTTCATTGGGGTTGCAGTTGAAAATACGGGTTGGATTTTTTTTTTTTTTTTAATAATGATGAGAGACAGATATTGAGAGAGAGAGAGAGAGAGAGAGAGAGAGAGAGAGAGAGAGAGATAGGGAAGGAGAGAGAGAGAGAGAGAGGGAAGGAGAGAGAGAGAGAGAGAGATAGGGAAGGAGAGAGAGAGAGAGAGATAGGGAAGGAGAGAGAGAGAGAGAGATAGGGAAGGAGAGAGAGAGAGAGAGAGGGAAGGAGAGAGAGAGAGAGAGAGAGGGAAGGAGAGAGAGAGAGAGAGAGAGAGAGGAGAGAGAGAGAGAGAGAGATATAGGGAAGGAGAGAGATATATAGGGAAGGAGAGAGAGAGAGAGATATAGGGAAGGAGAGAGAGAGAGAGATATAGGGAAGGAGAGAGAGAGAGAGAGAGAGATAGGGAAGGAGAGAGAGAGAGAGAGAGAGAGATAGGGAAGGAGAGAGAGAGAGAGAGATAGGGAAGGAGAGAGAGAGAGATAGGGAAGGAGAGAGAGAGAGAGAGATAGGGAAGGAGAGAGAGAGAGAGAGAGAGATAGGGAAGGAGAGAGAGAGAGAGAGATAGGGAAGGAGAGAGAGAGAGAGAGATAGGGAAGGAGAGAGAGATATAGGGAGGGGAGAGAAAGATAGAAAGATAGGGAGGGGGAGTGAGAGAGAGAGAGAGAGAGAGAGAGAGAGAGAGAGAGAGAGAGAGAGAGAGAGAGAGAGAGAGAGAGAGAGAGAAAGCAGACCAAGAGGGGGGGGATATATATTTCTGGATTTAAGGCAAAGGTCTACATTAAGAAAGAGCAGGAATGTGCCAAGTAGTTTGACAGTCCAAAGTGGGAGTGAGTGTGGGCACTTCTAATAGTGTGTGTAAATTTTGAAGAGCTCACTGTATATGGATATATCTTGAGTAGAGCATTTTTGAATATTGAAATCAAATTAGAATATCTATTCATTTCCAATCCATAATATGCATGAAGACAAATTCCTTTTCCCTTTAATTCAATTATCTTCTCCTTTTCTTAGAAGGGACTCCATTCATTATTTCTTTCATTATCTAGAGGGGGATTTCATTTCGTGAAGAAAAAGAAACGACCATATTTAGAAAAATATTTAATCTTTATTTTCCTTTTTGTTGTGGAGAGGCTAGACAACTGTGTATGACACAAGAATCAACTACACATTTTTTAATGTTTTTTGGCTCTTTGGGTTGTTGTCAAATGCCCGAGACTTTGATAGATCCTTCAAAATAACTTACACCTGTACATCATACACTTTATGTACACATTAATAAAGTAAAATTAAAATCGTATTCGGGCCATAACCATGTAACATTCAGTCCTATCTATGCCTCAGCCCCAATATAGGTGCCCGTTGGACATCAACATAGTTTTCCAGACTTACACCATCACACTGACTGAAGCTTTGTACCAACACATCTGCTGGAGGGTAGTCCGGGGCGAGGGGTACTGCTGCCCCCCTCCCCCCACTTGGAGACCAAACCCGCACATCATATATACCAAAGTCGTAAGCAGGTTACTGTTTATAATAGAAGTATACGGTCGCGATGGAGTGAAGGGGGAATCGCCTCAAACGCAGCTTTAGCTATATGACAGGATACATTGCATTTATAGATGGGGGTTGGACTACAATGGGGCTGAGGCTCTACGTCCCATGGCTTCACGGGCAGGTCATTGTGATCCAACAAAAAAAATCGTGAATAAAAAGAAAAATAAAAAAAATGAAAATAAAAACTTGCACTGTCCTCTTTAAGACAATCATAACCTGTTACTCCTTGGGTGGCTTACAAGACTCCTTGGGTTCCTTCTGCTGTCGCTGGCTTTAAAAGCTTTCCGTATTAAAACATAATAAAATATTGATAGCACTTTTTTCAAGATGACTTGAACCAATAAACACAATATATACTTCCATATAAACTAAAAATACAATTCACATTCAATGTACAAATCATTTACATCACTAAATAAATACGATGCACAAAATTACAAGAACATATGCACTTAGGCCCGACTCAGCGCCTGAGGCCCAGCACCAATATATTTCTGACAATCTATCTTTACTGGCAGGTACAATATTTAATAAAACGAGGTTCTGTCGCATCGATTACATACAACTTAGAACCGAAATTATAAGCAATTAAATTCAAAATATTTTTTTTTTTTTAAATATATCAACAGCGCTGATGCTGGTGTGGTTGGGTGGGGCCGGGCCGCCTCCGCGACTCCTCGCCCTGGCGGGTGTCCGTCGCTCGGAGGCAACCCTCAGGCACCACCCGGGTATCTTTTATGTGCCGCACTACCTGAATCAGGCTCCCGAACAGGGCAACAACCACCTTCACTTGCAGTACCAGCCTGGTTATTGCCTTTAAGTACTCTACAACCGGCCAGCCTTACTCTGCCCCAACGGGCGCTGAGTGTCTGCAGACGCTGGCCTTCTAGTATCCGACCGTGGCAACAAAACCTGGAGGCACTCCCCGAGGCAACGCAAAAGCGCTGCTCCGCATTTGGGTCGCACAAGAGAGGCGCTCGTCACCCCTAGCATCGTATAAAAACAGACACTGTGTCTGGGGTTATCACAGCCTTGTGTCCAAACAGAACACGTCTAAGTGTTGCTCAGCCTCGGCCTCCACAGCCCCTTCCACACGGGCGTGGGAACCGCTGCTTCGGCTGGAGCTGTTGCAGGGAAGGCAACACTGCATGGGAGCTCTGTTCATGGCACAGAACAATACTGACTAGGGACTAGTGTAGCTTCCTTCTGTGCACGAATGATAAACCTGTCC